ACCCTGGGGGCTCCTAAGAGGGGGGATCCAGGGAAAGTTGGGGCCAAAGGGGCACTGTGGACAGAGCACACAGTGAGCTAGTTCTGCCTACCTGAGGGATCTCTGGATTGTCCGGGCAACCGGCCTCTCCCCCGGCATCTCTTACACTCCCCCAGATGGGCCCTTCAATCTCCTCTCTCCACAAACTCCAGATCTCAACCCCTAGATCCCTCTCCTGATGTCTGAGTCCAGAACACATGCATTCTCAGTTCTCCCTCCCTGGACCCCATCCTCCTCGCCCCCCTTCATTCCCAGCTTACCCATCAACAGGAGAAGGGATGTCCTGGTCCTGCTCATGACTGGGAGGTCAGACGTGGGCTCCCGAGCTCCTGAGCCACTGGGGAACCGCTGGAGCGAGTGAGCAGAGAGGTGGTCAAGGCCGGAGCTAGAGAGGGAAGTTGTCAGAATGACTCAGACGTGGAGGGCGGAGAGTGTGACAAAAGCAGACACAGGGGCCCCGCAGCCGACACACTCCATCCAGGAGTCGTTCTGAGCGGAGATGGCGTGACCTGCCCCTCTTGCCTCGCCACAGATCTAGGCTTGTGTGGATGCCAATCCCCTGCCTGCCCCACCTCCTCCAATCCCCCTGGTTCCAGCTGAAGGTTCCCCCTGACCTCGAAACTTCAGTTCGCCTGGGGAGGGGGAAGGGGCAGGTGTCAGGGTGGGGTTAGGGCCCTAATGGAGATTCTGGGGGACCCCTCCACTTCTGGCCTGGAAACCTCTGGGCCAAGGAGTGAATACTCCTTGTTTGTTCGTCATTTACTCAGCAGGCCCAAGGGGAGGCTGAGGATATGTGCCCTCTGTTAGCAGAGTGAGGAAACCCAAACCACAAGGCCCCGGCCCTGGGGTCAGTGGATAAGGCAACGTGTAAACAGCAAGGCTTTGTTCTGCGGGGAAACCCAGTAACCACAGATACCTTACCCGGGCTGGCAGGGGCAGGTCAGGGAAGGCTTCCTGGAGGTGGTCACATTTGAGCCAAGTATTGAAGGCGCCTGACTACAGGGGAGTGTGTTTAGGAAGGGGTGGCCAAATGTGGAAGAGGCATGGGACAGCGGGGGCTTGGGGAAATGGGTGGTGGAAACCAGAGAGGAGGTGGCGGGAAGTAACAAGGGATGAGGTCAGTGCTGTGGGGGAGGAGAGAAGGGGAAGCAGGCCCAGCCCAGAAAGCCCCCTCAGGCATGTGATTTTATGCTGGGGCGGAGGGAAGCATTGATCTTCACGTTTCTATTTTAGGAAGCGGGAAAGAGGGGCCGATGAGGCTGGAGACAGGTCAGTCAGGAGGGAGATGAAGGGGGCCTGTGGAAGGAGCTAGTGGCCATGGGGATGGGCTGGAGGGTGACTGGTCAGACGGGAGGACCGTGGTGCTGGTCCCAGGACGAGGGGAGGGGCGGTGGGCCAGGCCAGCTTTGGTTTTGAGAAAACCAAAACGCAGTGGTTAGGAGCTTGGCTTCTTTCAACCTCTCTATGCTTCAGTTTCCTCCTCTGCAAAATCGGGGTGAGAATAAAAGTATGCACCGGCTATTGCTGCTGGGAGCTGGAGTTCGTGGTTCATGTGTGAGAGCTTTGCCCCCCCCCCCCCCCCCCCCCCCCCGCC